AGGCCTGCCAGGCCGGCGTTGCCTTGCTCCAGATGCCCGTGCTTAGCGGCTCTTGCAGGGCGGCTGGCAGGGCGCAGAGGCCATGTAAGCAAGTAGCAAGGCAGAATAAGCAGGAAACGCGACAGAACTGTAGGTAAAATTGGGAACGTCTAAGGTTTTTTCCCTGTGATTTGGTCACTCACTGTTAGAAAAAAACGTACAGCTTGCCTACACTTCTCTCATTTGAAGGTCATGTCTGTGCATACTTGTGTGTGTGTGTTTTCTAATTTACTGTGTTCATTGGGCAGGGGCTGGGGTATGGGATTATAAACAGACTTCTTAATGACTTCTTTCCCAAATAATCTACCCTTAACTTCTCAAGTAGAAGATATTTTTACATGTGTGCTCTTGGCTAATTGGTCTAGTTTTAGTTAGATTAGAACCTCACAGTCTGGGGTGTGAACTGAACCAGGGGACCATCGTGCTAAAGCAGGTCGAAGCAAGGCCGTTCAGGGCTGTGCCGACTTGAGGCTGTCAGAACCTCCCCAACCCGGGCCAGTCCAGCCTTTTCTCCCTAGGATTGTAATCGTGTCCCCCGCATTTCCACTTACTTAAATGGATCTGACAGTTCTGTCAGGCTCCAGCCACACTAACTGGGAGTGTGACTTCATCATGCTCCGTTCCCTTCTGCCAGTGAGCCATTTAAACCCGACACGGGGCATGTTGGACTTCAGATGCTGGCTTTATAGCTGCCGAGGCTACAGCCAGTCCGGGCCTCTTACGTACTGCCACCAGTCCAGCCCTGGGGACCCTCATGGTGGGAGTCACGTCTGCAGAAGAGCTCCTCCTACGCTTACCTGTTCATGGGCAGAAGTCCCAGGACACTGCAGGGGCACAGCCCGCCCCTGGCAGGCAGGCCCCAGGGAAGAACTAGGATGGGCGGAGCCGTGTGTGTGTGTCTGGCACCTTTGCTCGGTCTCACCAACCAGAGAACTCAAACCTCACTCTGTGCGGGGAAGAGGGTGAGTGCAAGGAAGAAGAGCAGAAGGCTTTGTCTTTTGTGGGCCCTTGCAAAGCCAGAAATTCCTCTTTAATGAGTCAAGGCAGGCATGCTTATGAGAGGAGAAAATGTTTTTGACTGCATCATCTCCCACAAGATAGCAGTCTTTCTTTCTTGTGGCCTCTCTCGCCTAACTCCAGATCCATCCCTTGCCTCTCTACTGTCGTTGGACCAAAGGCGCTCATAGCATTCTCTTGATATTCCAGGGAGTAAGTAACCTGTTTTGATCTTGGCAAGGCATTAGACTGAGTCTCTCAAGACACCCTCGTGGTAGTTACAGCAAAATGGGTGATGAGTTTACAGCTGTGGGTGCCACTCACCTCGGCAGGTCACTGTTAGCTTGAGAGGGTGGCATGAGGGGGACACAACACAGAGGATCTGCCTGGTTAATGATGTTATTATAGCCCTAGGTGACAGCGTAAAAGGAAGGCATGGCCAAGCAAAAGATCTCCTGCTATATGTTTGTACAGATTATTTGAACCTAAACACAAGTTTTTGCAGCTCATCGGAAAACCATGCTCAATGGAGCACTGTCTGCGTGAGCAAGCAGGGCGTGATGGTCTCCCCTGGTACAGTTCATCTTCCTGGTTTTGGTTCATTCTTGTCTGTGAGGGTTATTTGGGTTTTTAATTTATTGTCTATTTAATCAAAACCAATATCTAACAGCTGTTCAGTGCTTACCCTATGCCAGTTCTAAAAAGAACGTCTTGGGGTCTTGGTGACCCCAAACTCAGACTTAGCCGCGTTGCATCACAGGTAGTAGAGCAGAGTTGTAAGGAGGGAGTCAGGGAGTCATGGGCTCAAACCCCAGCTCTGTCACGTAGTTAACTGTGGGACGTCATTTAGCCTCTCTAAGCCTGGTTTCCTCATCTATAAAGTGACCATAATAATAGTACCTATGTCATACCATTTATACACATATGTGTATATACACACTCGGTAGCACAGTGGCTGATGGACACACAGCACTCAGTAAACATGGGCACAACTGCGGAGGGTGTTAATGGAGGTCTGAGCTTCAGATGGCCGGGTGGGGGCGGGGACCTGGCCCAACTCAGAACACAGAGGAGTCACGTGCTGAATCACAGCAGCACTCATACGTTACCTGTCGATCTAAGGCTCTCAAGAGCCTGCAGGCGTGCATCAGGGTCATTGTGGGCGTTGGATGCAGCCCCTCCAAGCAGAGCAGCTCCAGTCTCATCTGATGTATACAGATTGTGTGTATGTGTGTGTCTCTCTCATAGCTCAGGGACTCTCAGTTGAGGGGGATCTTGTCCTTGAGAAGACATTTGGCAATATCTGCAGAAATTTTTTGGTTATCACAACCCAGGGAGGGGAGCAGATTGCTACTGGCATCTTGTGGTGGAGCCCACGGGTGCTGCCGCACATCCCGCGGTGCCCAAGACAGCCCTCACAACAAAGAGTGATGCAGCCCCAGACGTCAGTAATGCTGTGTCGTGAAAGCCTGCTACGCACGCCTGTGTGTACGGTG